GCGAGGGCAGGGGGCGACGGGACCCCGCAGTGCGGGGCAGGCAGCGCTGGCGGGGCCGCTGTGGACCCCTGGGAGCCTGGCCCTGTCACAGAGCCGCCTCGTGTCCCCCTCGTCCCCTCCTTCCCAACCCCCTGCCAAGGGCTGTGTGTCAGGAGGGCAGACAGGCAGAGAGACTGACTGACTGACTGACAGACTGACTGACAGCCGGACTGACAGGCAGCCGTGTCTCTCCTGGGTGGGTATAATTATTCCTGTGAAACTTTGCATTTATTTCCATTTGCGTTCGGAAGGCTCAGCGCGTCGGCCGGCGTCACAGAGCTGCGGTATCTGAGCAGTCGTCACTGAAACAAAAGCCCTGAAAGGAGGAGGAGGAGAGAATGATTTTCCTTAAAATAGAAAATTCTCTGAAAGGTGTTCTGCTTCAGCCTGGTGAAAACCCTCCCTGATTCACACCCCCGCTATGAACAGTGAAACGATCTCGGATTTTTATGCCTCTTAATTGTTAGGAGCTGTCAGTGGTGTCCGTGCAAACCCGCGGGGAAGGAGAGACGGGAGCTGTGATGCAGCTGTGCGAAGGTGTCCCTGCTTGCAGGGTGGCCCAGACAGAGCTTGGGCCAGGATGAGAGGGATGGAGGGGGAAAAAGCGGCTCTACCAGCTGCTCGGAACAGCACCAAAGCTTCCCGAGCCCTGGTGCGCGGCCACCATGTCTCCTCCCTGGGCATTTTTGGGATATCACCTGGGAGAAGTGTCTGGAGGGGGGTGACAGAAGGACCCCGCAGCGGGGGGTGGCTGAGACACAGGAGAGCTTGAGGCCCTGAGCGGAGAGGAACCGGAACGGCCGGTAACGAGACAGGGAGCCTCCAGCCTGGGAGATGCTGGCGCTGCCAGCCAAACGGGCCGGCTGCAGGCACAGGAACGGGAACCAGGCCACTGCTGGGCTCTGCTTATTTCTTGCCCCCCTTCTGAATTCGTCAGAAAGGGCTCAGTGATGGGCACAACCCAAGTGGTCCCTGAAATCAGAACAACCAGAGCTCATAGGGGACCGTGGAGGCGATGACATCCCAGGCTGGTCTGTCTGCAGCAGGAGCCCAGCTCGTCGCTGGCTGTTACAGGGAGAGTGGAAACGGAACGGCCTGTTTAGTGGGGTTTTGCTTTCGTATCCTTGTTAACAGACTAGTTATAAAAAATATGTGGGGTTTTGCTCTTGTCTCTCCATTGTTGTGTCGGGGACGGGACCAGCACTCCAGGGCACCCTTTCCACCCCCGCCTTCTGCCCTGTTGCTCCCCGCTTTCCATCACTCTGTTGTTTTTCTTGTTGCAGTTACGGACAAGTTCACTGAGAGCATGTACGTCCTGGCCAACGAGCCCTCCGTGGCACTGTACCGGCTGCAGGAGCACGTGCGGCGATCCCTTCCGGAGCTCGCACAGCACAAGGTGAGTCGTGCTTCGCTTTGAACTCCAGGGCTGCGACAGAGTCGGGTACAAACTGTTTTCCTGACCTGGCACATCATCCCTGTTTCACCTCCCTCCCTGGGTGGGAAGGTGGGAGGAAATCAGCCATTGCGGCGTGAGGTGCTGTGGGATTCCAGCTCGGTCTGACCCACAGGGCATGAGGGGACATTGCAAATTTACCCGCGGACCTGAGGAAAAAAAACTTGCGAGTCCGACCACAGTCCCATGCTCTCACGGTTGGACTTGTGTGTGGAGACAAAGAAAAATGAGTAGTCTGTCTTGTACAGGGAGGAGGGAGATGTTAAATCTTATTACCCCTGCCTACGCTGTGAGATTTTTATTTCCTACATAAAATAAGGGGGAGGGTGAGAGGAGGGAAGGGGGGGCGTGAAGAAGCAAGTGTGAAGAGCCCACATGAGGCAAAGCGGGATAATGAATCGCATCTCACAGCTGTGTTCCTACTTTCCTCCAGAGCACGGAGCACAGACACTTTAATGCCAGCCTTGTTGTCCTTCTCCCTCTTCTGCCAGTCATGATTCATTAGGAGTGATGTCTCATGAATAGATTACTGCTTCATGTCTATGCTAATGCACTGTCAGGCCCCATTTTTCACCTTTGCTTTACAGCCCTGGTTTCCAAATTAACCTGGATTGTGACACTTTATTATTCAATTATTTATTAACGTTTTATATACGTGTCTGTGTGCAATGGTAGGTATAGAGCGATGTATATGTATGTATAGCACATGCTGATGCAATTGCATCCCTGGCATGCGGGAGACAGGTTTGTGATATTATTCCTGAGCTGTCACTTGCTTTCATTTAATCAAGATAGTCCCAATTTCAGGGAATGTGTCCTGAACAAAAGGAAATTGAGCAAATTGTATGACAAGTCATGCAGAGGGAAGAGATCAGTTTCCATCACGGAACGGTGCGTAACGGGGATGAGGGCGAGGGGCAGCGCCGAAGCGCTAATGGAAGCGACAGCTGAGTGAAGGTGCTGGACATAGAGCGTGTTGTTAGGCAGTGGGGTTTATCTCATTTTCCCTGCTCGGCGCAGTTATCTGCAGTGTTCTGTGACCTCTCTGGCTCATCTAAGATCATTTCCTAGCTGCAGCCGTCCCAGAGAATTCTCTTTTGTAGCCAAAATTGCTGCTGTTTTCCACTTTCTTCCTGCGAGAAAGGAGGTCGTGCAGTCCTGTGGATGCCAGCGGCAAACACAAGCACCCGGCGTCCCCCCATGGGACTGCAGCCGTCACAAGCAGCAGATACCTTTGGTCTCCATGCGTTCATCTTCAGCCTTGCAGCCTCCCTCCTGCCCTGGCCGTTCACCCCAGATGGGGCAGCGGTGGCCTTTGTACAGGAGGAAGAGCTCGCCGTGCTCCCCGCAGTAACGGTGCGCCTCAGGACAAAGCCAAACCGACCACACGGTGCCCCGGGGCGCTGCAGGGCACTGCCCTGGCGCCACCCCAGTACCCATTTGCCTCTCTGATACGAGAAAGCATTTCCCGATGCTTGCTCGGAGGTGCTGCTGTTTCCATCCATTTCTTTTTGCCCCCTGCATGGGCACTTCAGCTCCTTAACCGCTTTCCTGGTTCCTGGCTGTGTTTAATGGTACAAGAGCTGGGAGAAAATTGAAAGAAAATTATTTGTGGCAGCTGGAACAACAGCAGATCCAGAGCTGCTGCTGGTGACTTCTCCTCCAGCCTCGTCAGGTCCCGAGTTCATTTATTCCAAGGCCGCAGCATTATGTTTGGGAACATGCTCCGCTCCCTGCTGGTAACCAGTCCCTGGTTGGAACTGGGAGCGTTAAACATAACTCAGCTAGGCCAGTGTCCTGACTGTGCTGCCAGGCTGCTGGTAACAGCCTTGTGGCCAGGTTCTCTCTCTCGTCCTCGATCCCACTCTCATTTTATCCCAGTTTCAGGCATTGCTGTTTGCAGCGAACAGGCTGAGCCCGTCAAGCCCATGAGCCCAGGCAGCCAAACCCCGGGAGAGAGGGATGTGCTCAGGGCCCTGACAGGGCCATCGTCACAGCGGAGCGTTCAGTTAGATGGGGATGGATATTTTGGGTTGCTCTGCCAGAGCCCATCGGCTTTGTGGCTAGAGACTGGAACAGGAGGGCGTCAGCAGGGCTGTACACCGTGAAAACGCTGTCAGGTTTTATCTAAATCAGAGCAAAGGCATTAAAGTGAGGTGGGTTTAATTCTTCGGAATAGAAAAGAAGAAAAAAAGAGCATTCCGTGTGGATCCATTCTCAGGTAATTTAGTCCCAAGATGTAGGTAATGTATAAAGGAAACAGGATTTATTGGTGGTTTTCAGCTTTCCTTCAGCCGTGCAGCGTCTGTCTCTGGCTGGCTGAGTTCTCCTGAGACGCAGATTTTGCAATTCCCAGGAGGATTAAACCTGGGAAAAGTTGGGAGGGGGCTGGGAAAAAAGTTTCTGCAAAGAGAAGGTCACCTCCGATGCCTTTACAACGAGCATCTTTGTCATTCGATAAAACAATAATCTTAATACCTTCCTCACCATCTCAAACTCTCCAAGCAGATTTACCGCCTCCCTGATAAGACAGGGCGTGCTGCGAGGCCCTCGCTGTCTCCGTGCGTCGTAGCTGCGGCGCTAAGCCCCGCTCCGCGCAGGGCCTTTCTGGATTTTGCCAGGTCTTTTGAGAACTTAACATCTTCTCATTAATTTACTTCCAAGCAACAGTAATACATCATTAGCGCTATTGTATATTAATAGCTGGCTTGAGTTCTTAAACTGCATCCCAGGGCGCATCCTGGGAATTCGAAGAAAGGACATCAAGAAAAGATTAAGAAGTAGAGAGCTCTAGGGAGAGGCTCTTGTTCCTAATTAAGGACATGAAAATCCTAGGAAGTGGTGGGAATGCTGGGAACAGCATCACTGGCCCCGATACTGGGAAATGATTGAAATCTACTGGTGCTCAGGAGTGACAGGACCACAGGCAAGCGTCTGTGACACATGCGACTGAGCCAGTGCGATGTCAGGCTCTAAATGGTTGTTAAAGATCGTGTGGCACCTCGTGGAGAGAGCAGGGTGAGGAGCTGCAGGAAAGTTTCTGCGCCTTTTGCGGCTGTCTCCGCACGCAAAGCGTGTTCCCACCAACAGATCCAGTCGTGTAAAAACGCGATTGGACTCCGGGACAAGTGCATTCCCTGTGGGGTTGCGAGTCCTGGGTCAAAGGACCCTCTCCTGCAGAGAACTGCCTGGAGCGTTGCATGTACAGGCTTGTTTCTTTTGTGGTTTAAAGCTATGTGGTCAAGCGTCCTGATGTAGGACAGGCTTTGAACCGCACAAGTGATTTTGGATGAAGTCCAAGCTCCTGCCCGACCTCCTTCACTCACAGAAAGAGGCCCTTGGATTTCCTCTGGCTGGTAACTAAACCCAGCAGAATAGGCTGGAGAATTAGCTCCCATGAGAACATAGTTTAAAGAGTGCCCAAACTATTTGAGGACTTTTGAAATAGTTATCTATTGAGCTACACCTCTGAATTTGGCCGCGCTTTCATTGTGATTTGTGTATTTGTTTGCTTTTCTCTTTCCTTGGAGCTACAGCGGACAGTTATGTCCTGTGCCAGAACCGGCCGCATGCGGTGCTGCTCCGGTTTGTGTGGAGTTTATGGGACTCCTTCCAGTGGTGAAAGGAAGGGCACAGCGCTGCCTGGGATCAGACGCCAGAGTTTCAGAGCAGACTGGAGGACAGGGATGCTCGCGGCTGTGAAAACGTTTATGAACCACGGGTGTAACGAAACGAGAACTTTCAGTGCTCTGAGAGAGTTTTACCTGGTTTTGCATGAAGGACTGAGGACTGGACTCCACAGGAGCTGTGTTAGTTCAGATCCTGGCTGCCTGCTGGGCCGGACGCACCGGGAGATCCGAGTCCTTGGCAACATCCAGCTGGTCCGTCGCACTCGGCGCAGTCGCTGGTTGCTCGCAGCCTGACTGACCGCAGCTCTCAGCTGGCTCGTGGGCTAAACCATCTAAAAACAAGGGGAATTTTGCCAGAATATCCAAAGCGTTGGCCTGAACTAGTAGTCCTTCCAGAAATACACACAAGAAATATTTCTTTTAAATGCTAGCACTTGGCGCCTGGAGCGTGTCACAGGCTGTCAAGCGGGAAACAGAATCCCAACGCCATTTCCAGTGAAAAGCAGGCAGAGCCCGTGTTTGGGGAGGGCTGGCAGAGCGTATCGCTGCGTCTGTCCAGCGCGCGCTTAACGATGCCGCCTCCTCTTCTCTTTCAGTCCGACATGCAGAGCTGGGAGGAGCAAAGCCAAGGAGCCATCTACACAGTGGAGTACGCCTGCAGGTACGAGGGGCTCCTCCAGACAGGAGGGTTTGTGTCTGCAGGTGGAGGCGGTGTGGTAGAAACAAAGCAGAAGGCGCCTGCGCTGCCCTGACGCCTCCCTGGCGTGAGTCGGGGGGAGGGCATAGCCGGGGTGAGGCAGTGCTCTCTGAACCCTTACCGTGAATCTCGGGGGGGCTTCACTTTGACGCGCGTGCCGGCTCTTCCCCGGTTCGGTGCGCGGTGCGGAGCTGCCTGTCTGCGGTAAATCCACCCACCAGCCAGCTAGCGTGCGAAGGTGCAATGCGCCCTGTGAACTTGAGGTTTCTCGTTAACAGTCCTCTCTGTCAAGGGGGCGTGCGCGCTAAAACCACGATGCTTTTGGAAATACTAACCAGTCCTCCATCTCCCTCCACCCCCCTCCCCCTCTTTTCTGCTTTCAGTGCCATAAAGAACATGACTGACAGCAGCGTGTACTTCAAGAGCATCGACAGCCTGCTCAAACACGCCATAGCCATGAAGGATCAGCTGAACGCTGCTCAGGGCCGCAGGTAGCGAGGGGATGGGACGCTGCCTGTGTGTCTGAGCGACCGTTGTGGCTGGCGGAGGCTCCGGTGATGTAGCGCAGCCCAGTGCAAATACACCACGCGGTTATCTCAGTAATATGATTCTAGACTTATTATTTGAAAGAGCACGCTGCTTGCCTTCCAGTGATCTTCTGGCTTTGTTTACTGGGAAGCAAATAATCTTGTTTACAAAAGGTTAACTGGAAAATAATTTATTTCCTTATTTAAAAAGGGATGTTTGGTTGTGTAGTACATTAAATCTGTCTTGTGTCAAAGGCGTTTGTATTGAGGTGATGCTACTGAGATGGAGTAGGTGAGGGGCTGCGTTTGGTGCTGGTCTCGGTCATGTGCCTGGCTCTTTTGGGGCAGAGTCCCGTAGAGATAAGTGGTAACAGAACGATGATGCATTTTTGTACATTTGCAGTTGAACTGCAGCTACTAAAATATCTTCCAGCAGATTGTCTGAGTCCAGTGTGTTTGCCTCTCCTGAGAACGGTGTTGGTATTGGAGTCTGACTGGGTGGGAGTGAGAAAATTCCCAAATGCCCGTCCCTGATAAAACCACCAGAGCGAACAGAGAGCCTCTGTCTCTGCAGAACGACTCTGCCTTAGACACTTCTGGTTCAGATTCTGTATTTTCCCAGTTGCCCACGTGGCAGAGTCACACTCTGTGCAGCCCGGAGCGTTTTTAGTGGTTTTCACAGTGGTGTGGCTGCAAAGATTGCTGTCTCCACACCCACGGGGGCTGCTGTACGCTGCTCCGTCATCTGCACAGCACACTGAAAGGTGCGCTTGTCTACGCCGCTCTCCTGCTGCGAGCCGTGAGGTTTTATTTGAGGGAGCCCCTGGTTCTTCACCTTCTTACGGCTGCTGGTGGCCTGCCTGCCCGCTGGATGTGACTGTCTCTTTCTTTTTACAGCACTGTTGCTCCACAAGCCAAGAATCCTCCAGCCAGTTCCTGATTTCAGACAAGACTGGCCGTCCTCTGCTGCCTTCTCCAGCCCAGCTCTACGTTCTCCAACTACCAGGAGGGGTGAGAAACCACCTGCTCGATCTGTGAAGCTGCACAGAGGCCTCTGCCTTCCCCTCCGTTCCCACGAACGAGGTGCTGCACCTCAGCAGGCAAATCCTACCCCGGGGCCAGGGCTGCCTTTGCGGGGTGCTTTGGGGAGCAGCTGTGTCCCTTTCCACAGCACTCTGCGAAAGGCAAAGGGGGTGATTCTGCATTTGTCCTTTCCAGTTCTTTTCGATGGCAGACTGTTATGAGGCGTTTTTCTCTCTACCTCTTGGCCACAGAAATATCTCAGCAAAACTAGGTCTTGCTTTTCAGTGTTTTGTCGATGGCTGCGTAAATGTGGGCACACTTCAGCTTTGTTCGGGAGGCATTCCGCAAGGAGAGTTTTTCATGTGTGTGCCAGGGAGTTGCTGAATCTGGTTTTAGTGAGAACAATAATAAAAAGGAAAAACAAGAAAGTTCTGTCTCAAACCTTCCCCTGTTGCTCGCTCGGGCTGGGGGGTCTTGGAGCCTGCTGGCTCTGAGTGTTTCAAAGGGTACGGAGCAAAACAAAGACACGCAGAGTTGGGGCCTTTCAACTGAAAAAAAAGAAACTGTCCTGATCTTCAAAAAAAAAAAAAAAAAAACAACAAAAAAGGACTTTCTTCATCCCCTGTCAAGCAGTGGGAAGCAGAGCTGTACGCACAGCTTTGGAGGTCACTTTAAAAAGGATGCAACTTCAGTCTTAATCTCTCCTGGAACCAACAGTTCTGGTCTGCTGAAGAATTTGTTGAGGATGCAGGGCTCAAAGCGGTGCTGAGACTCAGTTTCCAAAGACATTGTCCTGTGCTCAGGATAACGGGTATCTTTCAGGATAATTGCACAGGAGGTGAGAGGGAATCTGAATCGGTGGCCTCCCTGCACTCCCTGAAATCCTTTCCTGAAGGAGAAGGAATTGGGGAAGAACAGAGCGTGCTGCTGCTCTGGGTCTGGGCAGGGGTGGCAGAGTGCGGGGCTGCGAGAAACCCGCGAGGTGTTGGTCAGCGCGGGGACAGAGCGAGCTAAACCTGCTCGTGTTTCTCGGAAACGGCTGCTGCCTTTAGCACTTGCGCTCTCTGCCCTGCACGCAGCAGAGGACCGGCAGCACCAATCAAACCCCTTCCCAGACCTCAGCCTTGACCATCAGCGCTCTCCTCCTGGTGGCACCCAGGTAATCCCCGGAGAGGTCCCTCCGCTGCTGAGCAAAGCCAGAGCACCGGGGCTGCCCCGGCACGGCCGCTTTCCCCGCTAAGAGCTGTTGAGCGACCCTGCTTCGCAAGCTGTGTCCTGCTGAGTGGTGACGGAGCAGCAGGCTCTCTGCCGCCCCAAACCCCACCTCTGCAGCTCACACTGCTCTGGTTCCGTCTCACTTGTTGCTCCTCCATCATCTCCCTCGGTTTCTTACACCTGCCTGGCTGCACGCTGGGAGGAAGCCCTGCTGGGATGGTTGTATGAACCGTTTGGGTGTAGTGCCGGCTCCTGGGGCTGGAGGAGGAAGGAAGGAGGACAGGAGGCACAGGCAGCCTGAGAAATCAGCTGGGATCTGCTGGAGAAGCTCTGTTTGTGGACACGGTCGTTCGTTCCTTCTCACCCGTGTGTTTCGCAGTCGTCGGGGCGGCCGTGGAGGTCCTGCACGGGTCGCTGCCGGCCACCGCCCTGCCAACGCGGTCCTTGGTGGTGGGGTGGCAAGTGCCAGCAGCATCGCAGGAGGCGCTGGGGACTCGGGGCAGGCGGCCGAGGGCTTTTGGCTTTGAGTGGAGGTGGCGTCTTCTCAGTAAACGGAGCAGAGAGCATCAGGCAGTGGCTGCGCAGAGCCCCCGGCGGGAGGGTGGAAAAGCAGCTGCCCCCCCTGCCCTGGTGAGACGTGTGACCTATATTAAGCTCTAAACAGAGATGTAAATCTCGGTCCTGGTGCCTGCAGCTCCCCTGGGACGAGATGGGGCGAAAAGGTCCCGCTGCCGCTCACACCAGGGTCGAGTCCTTGCCCGAGGCTCCGGGTTTGCGTGACAGCACGTTCCTCATCTCCTCTGTGACGCCGTTCCAGGGTTTGCCCTGTGCCTGCAGCAGCCCCGACTCTGCCGACAGCGTCCTGTGCGTTCGGGGCAGGTTGTAGCTCTCCTTCTCGGAGCGAAGCCCGGGGCTGCCCGAGGAGGTGAGGTTCCTGCTGGCTGGAGAGCCCAGCTGAGATTTGCGCTCCAGGAAAGGAGGGAAGGAAAATTCCCGATGGATTTCAGGCCGGGGCCGGGACGCGGCTGCGTTCTTGTTGTTGAGATCGCTGGTGGAGGATTCGCCGTGCTGGGCAGAGTCGTTCTCGTAGAGGGTGTGAGAGACCTCGGAGCGGCTGCGGCGCGAAACCTGGGAAGCCCGTACCAGGGCGTGCGTCACCGTGATGAGCAGGACGATGATGCCGGAGGAGAGGATACAGGCGCTGGCGATGCCGGCCTCCAGTTCAAACAGCAGCAGCATGTAGATGGCGAGAGCTGGAAGGAAAAGAGAGCGCAGAACGTCTTGAGGAAGCAGAGGGATTAAAAAGCGACGCAGCTGACCTGCAAAGAAGGCCAGAGGAGCTCTCGAGAGGGCTGGTCACTGAGAACGGGAAGTTCGCGCTACAGGAATGAGCTGGCAAAGCCATTTGCAAAACAAACCCGATGCTGAAGTAGAAACTCAGCAGCTCGCAAGCGCTCGGCAACCAGTGCAGGGTGCGCGGTCTGGGCTGGAAAATGCCTGGTCCCTGCTGGGAAATGAGCGCTTGCCTGTTAGGTAGACTGAGACCCCGCAGCAGAACAAGCCGATGGCAGCGTGGCGAACCGTCCGGCTGTCCAGAAGGAACCAGTCTGCCCTGCAAAACAGGTGAGAAAAATACAGGTCTGTGTACTCTGCTGGCCCTGGTCTCGGCACAGGAAAAACGCCGATGCTCTGGTCCCTGCTGAGCAGCCGAAACGCTGGTTTTGCATGGAGCGGAGGTTCAGAGCCGGGTCACGAGCCCAAGAGCCTCTGCTGAACTGGGGGTTCCCGCAGACTGGGGGGTTGCGCAGCTCTGAGCTGCGTCGGTCCCACTCTGGAGCGGGAGATTTTGAGATCGCTTGAAGTTACCAACTTTTCCTGCCCTGGTTGGAGCTGCGCTTGGGAAAGCAGATGGGAGCCCCGGCTCAGGAGAGACAAATGGTTGGAGGCTTTTTGCAGGTGATTTTTCCCCCTCTTCGGCAAAGCCCAAAGAGCGAGGAAGGAGCGGAACTGAGGCGTGTCGAGCCCGTCTACCCGAAAGAATGACAAGTAAAGCGCTGGCGCCTTGAATTAAGCCAAGGCCTTCTCTCTTCGCCCTTGGGGTTGGATTTCTGTGCTCAGCTCAGATTGCAAGCCTTTTGTCTGGAGGGGGCTCTGTGCTTGAATTGTGCTTAAAACACGTGAAAAGACCAGTTCCTTTCCAGCAGGGCCATTGTTTCCCACCCGGCACCGACGCCTGCGCCTCCTGCGTGCTGGTGGCCAAACCGCCGATGGCTCCGCTCGGGCATCTTCGGAGCCAGATGGACCCGGCAAACCTCAGCCCTCGCTGGGCTCCGGAGGCTGCTGTCGCCGGCGGACGCCTCCGCTAACTGGGAAAGCGGGATGGGGGCGTTAGGGGACACAGCGTAGCGTGGCAGACGGGTGCCAGGGTACGGAGGTACTCATAGCTACGATTCGGGGGTACGGGGTGGTGGTGGGGTGTCTTGGAAATGGGAGAGATGTTGGCGGGACTGTGATGCTGAGAAGCCACAAACAGTCCTGGGGGTGCACGAGGTGCTGCCGCCCACCTCCAAAAGTCCCAGGGAACCCGTTGGAAACGTGTCCGGGTTTGGAAGGACCAGCTCGAAGGGGCAACGGCACAACCGCCCTCCCGCCTTGGCGTCGGTCCTCTGCGATGCCACCTCCATCTGCCCCGCGGGGTGAATTCGGCAGCCGAGGATGCCGTGCCCTGGCCCCCTCCCCTCCTCCCGGGCTCGTCGGAGCCCCTCGGCCGTTGCCGTCCACGCGGGGAGCCTGCAACCGGGAGCCGTTAATAGACCCTGGACCCGCTCCCGGGGAAGAGCAGCCGCTTTGTTTTATTAATTACCTGAGTCGGGGAGAGGGGGGGATTAGCGGGGAGGAGGAGAAGGACTTTGTTTGGAGCTGGCTCAGACTATTGAGCGCAGCGCTGAGAAGCGGAGCGGTAATTCAGTGTGACAGGTCCAACGTGGGAAAGGTCCCCGGGACGTGAGCGGGTCCCCTAATGAAACCGGCGCCCGGTGGGGCCACCAGGAGACGGTGGCTAACGGCATGCCGCGTCGGGGGGGAGAGGGGCTGCGTCCTGCCGGCACCTCCCGCAGCACCCCTGTGTCCCGAGAACCTGCCCTTTTCCTCCCGAAGGTGAGTGTAACCTTCAGGTCGCAGTTGGGGAAACTGAGGCACGGCCAGACGAGGGGACCTGCGTGAGATCCCGGGCAGAGGGACGCCATCCCGGCGCTCCTGATCCTACCGATGCCCCACAGCAACGCCAAAAGCAGCCTCTCGCTTTGCCGGGGCTCTGAAGCAGAGCAGAGCAATCTCATTTAACATCAAATTGTTCGGGAAAGGTTTTTCCGCTCGGCGAGACGGAAGGGTCTGCGAGCCCTTGAACTGCTGTTGGCGCACGGGCTGTCCTGCCCTTCCGTCTCTCTACCTGTGACTTCGCATCTGGCTGCCTAATTAGCGCTGCTCCCGTTCCCCGCTCGGGATTTTCGAAGTTGGACTTCGCAACTTGAAAACTGAGCATCCGACAGCCCAAATCACCGCCAGACCTCAGACGAATTTACAGCCGACGGGGAATTTTCCCCTCTAACGGTTTTCCGGCAGAAACTCAGCTTCCGCAGAAAGCCAAGTTTGCTACGGGAACTTTGTGTTTTTGCAGAGAGATTTTTTTTTTCCTTCGTTAACAAGCGCGCCGAGCGTCGGCCTCGCTTGGAAGATGCCGAGAGGAGCCGGTGCCGCGTGCTGGAGTGCCTCCAGGCGTCGTGCTCCACGCGGAGCAGGAGGCGCTGATGGCTTTGTCTAATTAGGGACAAAACGAACTGTTGAAACATTAGCGTTTCCTTGAAATGAGTTTTGACTTGCTTAAGTCAGAGCGGTCCCAAAACGGGCCCCGTGGGGACCATCTCATGAGCTACGTGGAGGGACCTCCACGTCCAGACCAGTTTCCACAGATGTGGTTTTAAATCTGATTATTCCCAAGTAGGTTTTTTTGCCTTTTAACCCAGGAGCGGAGCCGTCAGCAGAGGAGCCGTCAGCCCAGCCCCGGTCCGGGTCTCGGTTGGGGAAGGAGAGGGGAATGAGAGGGGAATCGTTTCAGAAACCGTTTTGCAAGTGTAAATGTGCCGGTAATGATTAAGTCAACACGTGTCTATGGTTAATGATCCCAGGCCTGCGGTCATTTCTAGTGCTGCGAGAGCGACCTGTGCCGGCGCCCCGGCAGTGACCCGAAGAGCACCACGGCTCTCCCGCTGCAAAGGGACAAATCGCGGGTGCTCCTGCGCGTCGCGGCCTCGGCCCCCAACCGGACTGGCAGGATTGACCCCATGCGCTCCTACAAGCCCGGAGAGGGACCCTAATTAACACACCGGCTTTACGGAAGGATGTTATCAGGGAAAATAAATAGCGCTTATGAGTGCTGCCAGGTGGATGGGCTGCTATAAACTTGCTCTGAGTCCACACAGTCTCTAAGCACAGCTACACCCCAAATTAAGGGGCACATTTACAGCCCCGGGGTCCATCGCCCAGACATAACGCTGCGTCCCGGGCCGGCACTGCAGAGGTGAATTTTGTGATATCCCAGTGCTTTGTTCACTCTCTGCATCTCCACTGTCGCAGGGACAGCGCCTGGGGGAGCCCGGGCAATGGCTGGATTTTCGATCGCCCAGACATAACGCTGCGTCCCGGGCCGGCACTGCAGAGGTGAATTTTGTGATATCCCAGTGCTTTGTTCACTCTCTGCATCTCCACTGTCGCAGGGACAGCGCCTGGGGGAGCCCGGGCAATGGCTGGATTTTGGGGTGCGGGAGGGCTCGGCAGGGCTGCGCATGACCCCGTGCGGCGGGGACAGGTCCCGGGGCAGCGGTGCTACCCTGCACCCCTCACCCTCCTTACA